TAGTATCCCTCAGCTCGCTCGGAACCTCGATGGAGGTGAGGTGATAAGAAAAAAAGTACCTGGAAGCAGCTACAGGTACAACATTTCTACAATAGAAACCCAAACAACAAAGGCGAGTCGAGCCACTAGCTGCTTTGCAAGCTTTATGACGCGTTTTCAATGTGACGTCAATGTGACGTCACAGTGAAGGAATGGAAACTGCTGGACTACAAACGAGCTGTTTTCAAGTGGTTCAGAGCAGAGCTTTCTGTGGGAGATGGGAACTCCCTTTGGGCTTTTTCACTTTGCAAACCTGTTACATGCACAAAAAAGATATATAACTCTATAAAGGAGAGGGGAAAAGCCAAAAAGCATAATGCCACCTCTTTAAGGACAAAATATTTTTATTGCACTTTCAAATTTAAATAAACAGTCAGCTGTTTTCACATACATGTTGTGCTGCATTTCTGCTAATGTACAAATCGTTGCATCAAAATAAGACTGGTCCTTAATGTGCATCATCTTCTAGAAGCAAAATATAAAAAACATTTTACCCGAAAAGTCCACGGAGTCCAGCTACTGCTGCGCCAAGGTTTCTTCCCGTCCTCTGCACAGCGTTAACTTCCTGCAGGAGCTGAGCACATTGTTGGCTTGTTATTTTGTCCTTTTGTGCTTCTACCAATGGCTTGTACTCTGCTTACCAGCATGGCCTCTCTGCGACCCGGTTTTGTTCGGTTGTCTGCACAGCTGCATATCCCACAGGGAGCATTTCAGAATCAGAGCATTTTGCCTGCCTGATTTTGCTGACATGTTTAGATTTAGCTGATTTGGTAATCAGTGCTTGATTTTTGTGCTTCTTCTGTGATTAAGTAGACTACTTAAATGATTTCTTTGAGTCTATTTTAACTGTTATTTTTGATTTATGATCGGAAGTATGCACAGGGTGTTTTATTTTGAAAAATGACCAGATTCTCTATGCCGTACTGTGTCTGACTTCCTGCCCAGTTCAATCTGACCAGCTCTGGCGCCCGTGGTGTAACGGACACATGCGGACCCAAGGACTTGGTGCGCGTGCAGCCAAATCGCCCCCTTGGCTATAAAGTTTACGTAGCGCTTGATTTGATATGCAGCAGAGTTTTCCATGAGTGGAGCACGCATTTTAAAGTCGATCATATTAATTTAATTGTGGGAAGCTAAAATCATAATCGTGATCAATATTCGATTAATTGTGCAGCCCTAGGCTGAAGCATTTTGTTTGATAAATCACTTAAACAGTTATTTAATAATTAAGGTTCCTATCAGTTAATCTTGTCAATTGATTAATTGACTAATCGTTTCAGCAACAGGTAAATTACACCGTATACATATAATGTGCCAGTAGAAGATAATTGAGTTTAATTATTTAACTAAAGTTTGTGATGACCTGTTACTCAGCATGCACTGCCCTTGTGAGGACCGCCGATCCCACCCACCCGCTCTGAATCGCTTTGCGCTACAGCCACTACGGTTTCCTCCCAGTGAATAAGGGGGAAGAGGACAGGAGAGAAGAGAGCAGTGAATTAACCTCGATTGCGGCGGAGTAAAAGCTCCTTTTTTTTTCTTGTGAGTAATCGTGTAAAGCAAGGTAATATAATCCCCTGATGAATTGTTTTCAATCACCTACACAAGTGTCGGTCCGTACTGTTTGTATCATCCCGCATCACTCTACAAATAATCATCACCTCTGCTGCAGAAATCAAACAGTCAACTACTTACCGGCATAACACCAAAATGCCATAACCAAATGTCCAGAACAGGATCCTTTTGTCAGTAGGCTGCCTGGTTGTAAGTGCACCAAAGCATTTTCTTTGTGGTTGCCCAGCTGGGTATTTTTTGTGTGTTGCCACTTAAACCTTAATTTTGTGATTAATTGAATTATTGATTTTGCTGGAAGATTGAGAAGAATTTGTTGTTACTTTGAATGAGCTACTTTTTGAATGAACTGAAAAGACCCTATTTTGTGTTTTTGCCAACAAAGAGAATACTGAACATTGTTTTTTTTACATAGCGTTATTTTGTGGGTTGTTTTATGTGTGCATTATTGAAATACAAATACAAGCTGTGTTTATTGTGCTTTAAAAAACTCCTGAGTTGTGGTTTTCGTTACACTGTTAGTCTCTGGTAAGATCACTACGGCTTAGTCTTTGAAACAAGCTTTGTCGTAATATGAAAGTGGTGATGTTCTTTGCTCATGCTGTCTTCTGGTTGTTGTTGAAGTATTACAGGGAGGGCCCAAGTGGTCTGGATGGAACGGATTTCAGTGCTGGACCACAAACATCTCCCGTCAGCCCATTGTGGAGCCCCCAGCCAGCACTCTGCACTCTCCTTTTAACCTGGCACAAACTGGGAGGAAGAGGAGAAGGAATACAGCATTTAAGACTCTGGTTCCTCCCTCTACTTCTTCTTCTATGACCACTTTGGAAACATGACATTGCCTCCCACATGGAAACAGCCTAGTTAGCAAAGCGTGGCGCCTGGATGGACCTGGAGCCGATGATCCTGATTTCAAGAACTGAAAACTGGAATTTCTGTCGTCCATGTCGATGCTCTATGCGTCGTTCCTCTTTGGGCCTTCCCCTGGTGACTTGATGGCTCACCAGGCGTGATGACTATGGCTTAGCCTTTGAGGAAAGGGCTGTTACAATCGACATAGGAGACCCTACCGGTGACGTTTCTGTGTTTTTATTTTTCTATCCACAGTCTTGTGGTGTGCTGGGATTGGTCTGAGGTCTCCTCACAGTTGGAACTAGAACCCAGTCGCTAAATGTGCTTGTTGATTTCTCGTGCATATTAGTGGATGTGTTGGATTGTTCTGCACGCTGCTTAACACCACAACCCTGTGAATGACCCCTGTTTATGAACTGACTAGCAAATGAAGTATTTTGAATATTTGAGTTTTAACAGCTGTAGCATTTGTATTTTTCCCCTCCGAGGCGCCATTAAGGGCAGTTGAATTGCCTCACCCAGTGTCCTGTGTGGGTTGAGATGGTGCTTAAATCAGTTTCCAAATCAGTGAGCCAATATGTTATCACACACAAGCACATCACCACCCAGGTTTGAGCAGCTCTCTGTCTACTCTCTCGGTGTTTAAAAAAAACAAAAAAAAACTGAGATGGGATAATAAAGGTGATTTGTACTGCAAATATTGATGCTTTATTAAATATGTTTTGTATGGCTTGTAGAGATATTTGAATGGAAAATAGAGTGGGGGATGCAAGAGGAAAGAATTCAAACAGATTTCAAAGGGAACCAGCTGGTGAGGGAAACGCAGGTTGATGTGTTTAGGACTAAAGCGGATTTAGAGAATGTGATATTTTTACCTTACTGCTAAATGCATGGTCTGAGTTGCAAATACATTCTTTACCTCTTTGATTCAGTTTTTTATCAGGCAGATAGTGCCGTGTGTAACAATGGGAAGAGGGCAGTGATGCCAAAAGAGTGTAATGTAGAGGTGTAATGGTACAACACATCTGCAGTGAATTGTTTTAATCAGCCTCATATTCGGCGACGTCAGAGAAACATCTGGTTGCACCTCCAGTTTTGAAACGCTCTTGTAACTTGTTACATCACTGTCCCCTCATGTGTACCGTAAGGAAGCTCTGCTCACAGAGACCATGTGATATGAAGGTGACACCAGCACAACCCCAGAGGACGCAGTGAGTACACTGTGATAAGCGTTTGAGAGCAGTTTGTTTTTATTCTCATTTTCTGATCTAGTTTGGTAAAATCGGGACTGACGTAATTCAAAAATAAAGACAAGGGGGCGAAGGTAAAGGAGGTGGTTAATTTAAGGGTCTAAAGTTAAGTCCTCCCGCCTGTTAAGGTTACTCATGCAGAAATCTTTTTGAAGGGACTCAGGGAAGTGTGGCGAGGGAAGCAAAGTCAGTCTGAATGCTAAGCGTAATGTACTGTGTACACTATGATGAACCCAGGAGATTTCTTTTTTTGGGTTTCTGTGATTTGGTGCATTCTGGGTAATATTTGCTAAATGCAGAGCTTTGGTCACCAGTATTTTTAACCCCTTTTTAAAAAAATAAATTACTGTGTAAAAACAAATGTATACATTATCTATAGCTAGGTTTACAAAAGACAGGTTTATAACAGCAAGCCCATGATAAAGTGAAACGTTAGAACTTTATAGAAGCTGTCGGAGCTTAAAAACCACTCAGTATTCAAGCTTTTTGATCACCTCACATTAATCAAGTAAAAAAGGGACCTCACTATTAACTAATGTAGCGCAACAGGTAGGAATCGTCATGTTAATGCGTTTTTTTTTTTTACTTTTGTGTTAGCTTTTGGTGCTGTGGTTCACACAAATAATTAACCCTTTGATGCTACACCTGGCACGATTTACTTTTTAAGATTTCCAAAATTAAAATGAATTTGTTTCTACTCTGTCATTCAGTTTTTTGTGTAGGAATCATTTAGCATTTTGGCTGATGAAGAATTGTGAATGTTAATAAAATTATTTACTCTCTTTCTCTATGGTTGTCTGCTGAATGTCTACAAATGGAGTTCTGTCAAGTGGGTTATGCTAGTAGCAGTTAATGTAGCTTTAAGCCTGCAGGCCAAGTGGTCTGGTAAGATCACTTCTTTCTCCACACTGCCTGATTATTCTCATTTTCAAACTTGTAGTTTCTTCCCCAGCAGATGCTGACTCAAGTTCAAAGCAATTTTGTCAAATTTCACCCTGCTCCCTCTGGAGCCACGTGAGGCTTTTGTTCACATTAGCCAGCTAGCATTAGCTAGCATCAGTGGTACTTCACAAGATCTGTAAACAAACTTTAATGTGTAAAATCAGAGTTCATTTGTTTTCTTGCTGCAAGTTAATGCTAACCTAGATGTTGGGATTGAAACCACTCATGTCTTTTTGGTAAATGTTAAGCTGCAGCTAGTTAGCTTAGTATAAACATTGGAAACGGGGAAAGATCAGCCTGGTAACCGTTTACCAGCAACTCAAAAGGTCTCAAACCAACATGTTATATTACGTTTGTTTAATTTGTGATGTGACATTTTTATATAAAATACATAAATAAAGCATCTGCAGGTGGCATCAGGCGCATGTGCATATTACATACTCATATATACACACATACATGGGCAAAAGACTCAAACACACTACCAGGCATACAATTCACCCCACAAAATAAAGAAACAAATGGTAGTTTAAGCCATTTGGGAATACAGATAATCTTGCTTGGACAACACAGGTCACATGATCACAAGCACTGCAGCAGTTCTTGCTGACCCTGGAGGCACTGATCTAGCACTGGTTAAACTGATCATAACTCATCTGCATACAAACAAATTACTGATTTCAGACCAGAGGAACCAGAGGCCACTATATTTATTAGGATGACACTCAAAATATCTCCCATTAAAATGTGTGTGAAGTGTTTTGTTCCAGAACAAGAAACCTATTTGAAAAAGAAAGCAACACTTGAAAATAAATGTCTGACTAAATTGTCTAATTTGCTTTTTCAAAAATGATAACACAAAATTTCGGAAACTCTTCTTCTTATCCTTAGAAAATAAACATTTGACAAGTTGAATGCAGCCTGTAACAGAAGAATACAGTACATTAGCTTCAGTAGTCTCCTGGGCTCTACTGAGCGCACTTTTAAACATCTGTCCCTAAAGTTACACATAAAACAAGGCTCTGTCTCACGATCTATAACTTGCACCCTGATCTCTACTCAAGACTGCTTTGGCCAAATAAATTGTAACTGTTTAACCTTCTCATGGCAAAAGCAAATAACTGTCCAAAGCATCTTTACATGAAAATCATATTTCGTTAGATTGAAACAGATCCACTCAGATCAGTGCACAAGTTAGAGGAGGTGAGAACAGTGACCACGTGGACTGTGGGAAAGGGGCAGTCCCCATTTCAATGAAGGCGCATGGGGGAAAACACAAACATACCATGTATAGTCCGCACAACAGAAAAGTATGTATTAACCAAAATTCCTCAGAAAAACAATTATAGTGCTGTTTTCTGTTCAGTCCCTCAATGATGAAAAAAAACCCCAATACAAACAGTTTAGGGCAGCAAAAGCTTGATTTTACAGAGTCAAATGAGCTGTGCAAAATGGCACCAAGCATGGAGATGTGGGTGACCCCTGTAGTAATGAGCACTTTAGTCAGCTCCACTGAAACCTACTGACCATGCAGCACAAGCCACCTGAAAGCAGCAAAACAGATCGATATGTTAGGAAATTCGCCTCCCTTTGGGTTTTTATAAAGCCTCTGTACACCTTAGACCTATTTTATCTCAAAACATAATTCTCTTCTTTCATTTGACAACAGTATTCAGACTTGCAGCTAAAAAAAGCGTATAGAAAAAAAGTGATAATTTGCCGTTTGTTTCCATAGACAGGAAACAGCCAACAGCTTCTTGGCCAGAATAACTTTCACTGATTGTTGTGCTAAACTTAAATCTGTCCAGATTTTATGTTTTTGTAGGCAGACTGACAGTAACCTGTTGGTCAAGAGGCTGTTGAACAGCAGTGCTGAGCAGGATGGAGGGAAGGAATCAGAGCTCAGATAAAGCTGGGTTTAGGCATAGACATCATCTTACTGGTAGAAAATTGCATGGCGAATAGCGAATCATTTTCACGTATTTGTGAGCGTTTCTTTGCATCTGTGTGACTCAGAGTGTGTTTGTCTATGCGGGTGGAGTTTTGAATGCTCCCCAGGCGTGGAAGCAGCGCGTGAAGCAGTGGGGCTCGTTTCCCTTCCGCACCAGTCGCAGCTTCCTGGGGTGTTCAGGGTCCTTAGAGCGCATGTGCTGAATGTAAACCTGGAGAGGAACAGGAGGAGGAGAGGGATTAGTGAGGTGTATGATATGGATATATGCCACATACACAACAAATGCAGTTTCTCACTAACCTGGCAGGCTTTGAGACTAAGTTTGATCTCCACCTGGCTGGTCTGAGTACCGACCCACATGTACACCTGAGGGAAAACAAGGAAGGGAGGTAGAAACACAAAAAAGAATGACAAACAAAACAATCACACTGTAATGAGTGAAATATTATAATCTAACTGGATCAAACAAATTTATGATCAGTGGTTACCTCTTTGCCGTTGTCCAGCAACATGATGTCATCATCAGCCAAGTCGTCCTGACAGAAGTCTGAGCACTTCTCCGACACAGAGAAATAACCCTTCTCATTCGAACACCTGAGGGAGGGGAAATAAAAAGTGGCAGAGTGATATGAGAGAGGGCAGATAAATACAGACAAACAATTTATATAGTTCTACACCCACACACGTATTTTAACTAACCACTAAATAATACCTACAGATAATGTTCACTTACCTGAAGAGCCGAGCATGTTTCATATAATCTGCATCTTCATCGTACTGCTTCTGAGAACCAATCCCGACCCAAAAGAAGTTCTCTGGCTCCTCCCCTTCATTAATTACCTAGGAGACAATTTGGTTAATCACTTTGACAAAATACACATTCATGCAGAATCTTTTATTTGATAAGAGACATAAAAACAATGGGAGACATTTAACAGAAGCTAAAGTATCTCTTAACTCAGTTTTTTTATACATACAATAGTGTGCTGTTTAAAGAAAACAGCCTGTCCTCAACTTTTACTGTCTCCCTTCATTAGTGCAAACAACTTTTTGATTTGTCAGCTAAAGATTAAGAGATGAAAGCGGCTGAAGTGTGTGGAAGCGATAGTGTGTGTGATGGGGGAATTTATACTTGAGAGTATTTGCACATAGAATTAATGTAACATTTTACTAATGTGTGAACACGTGCCTATTTACCTGTTTGCTGTATGTGTCGTCGAACATGCAGTTCATGATGTCCTCGGCCAGTTTGGCCTCGTCGGGGTCACCAGCTCTACCCACCCAGGTGTAAACGATGCCCTGATTGTCTGTGCTTTCAAATGGAACCTGCAAAAAAACATAGTGAAACCCAACAGAGAACTTTATTTAAAACAGTTCAAAAGAAGAAATTATTTTGTTGTTATTGTAAATAAAAATAAATTAAAAAAGCAACCTTGAGAATGAAGCAAAACTCTGAGTTGAGATTGCTGGAATCTGTTCCAATCTGGATGGTCCTAAGACATGACAGGCAAAACATTTTATTATTATTTTTATTTTTTTACATCAAGTGGAGGACAGAAGCCCGTACTTGTGACAATGCTGGTGTGTGTAATTCTGATAATAGGTGATAATAGTACTACAGTATGTCTACCTGGTGCAAAGTGCGCTGCCATTGGTGCGTATTTGGTAGAGGGAGGGCTGAGCAGAGTCAATCTTCTGTTTCCTCTTCCCTTTGTGGATGATGAACTTCCTCTTGAAATGAGACAGGAACTTGAGGTTCTCCTGCTGCTGGGTCATACGCACCACCTAAACAGCAAGACGGGCTGTAGTTGTTAATTGAGCACAATATTGCTTAAACCACAAGAAGAAGTGGTCAGGCTTATACTCAACATACGTTGAGTTATGATGACCATAAAAGCATTTCAACGCCAAGTCTGAACGGCAGTGCAAGAGCTTCAAAGAATGGGACTTTCCACACACCTTCAGTTTTCCAGGGAAGAGACTCTCAAACTTCTTCTGAAGGGAGAAGGTGAATGTGAGCCAGCCCATGTTGGAGGCCTGTCTGCCCTGCCAGAAGTACACTACACACTGGAAGTCCTCCTCAGGCTGTTTGTCCTCCTCATCCTCTGCTTTTTGTCCTTCACCACCTTCGCCCTCCTTCTTCTTGTCCTCCTCGTCTTCATACTCCACAGGCACCCAGTATCTACAAAAGCAGAGTGAGATTAGAGTAAGACATTACTCATCTTGACAGAACAGTATCAAGCCAGTGGAGCCACTTCTCACAATTTTCAATCAACATTTTTTATTAAGCACAAATGCAAAACTGAGCTAAGGTAAGGCCCTGTACACTCCATAAACTGTAATATTCTGTTTAAAAAATGACTTTTTGATGTTAAATTTAAATTAAAGTGATACATTTGGCTTGATGTATCCACTCAAGCCCCAGATTTCCACCTCAGATTGATTCTAGCTATCAGTGCACAGTTACACACTTCCCTACCTGCAGAGGAAGACGTAGCAGTCCTGCGTGTGGAAGTGGCCAAACTCCTCTTCAGGCAGGCGAGCAAACTTCTTTCCCTCCAACACAAATCCTTCCATGCCATCCAGGTCCTCATTCCACTCCTCCATCAGCTGTTCAGCCTAGACAGAAAAGATGAATATGTAAGAGGAGGAGGCTAAAAGAAGATTTTGTTTTTAGTGAATAAAAAAAAAAAAAGGAGAAGAATAATTGTGTGTGTGCTGTTACCTCAGTGAGGGCCATAGCTGGCTGCCTGGGAAGGAAGAGAGCTGTGAGGTCAGCTTTCATCTGGTCTTTCTGCTCAGCGTCCTTCTTCACCTGGGAGAGAAAACACAGATAAACACTTACTGACACATGCAGCTAACATTGGACATATCTCTAGTTTGGAAAAAGAGATACTACCTGAAGCTTCTCAATGTCTATTTAAAAACACATGATGTTATCTTCAAACACAATGAATACTTTGAGAACAACTAACTATTTTATGAGCAACTGGACTGGTAGCATGCTATCCAAGTATTATTATCATTTTATTTTAAAAACCCTGCACCCACTTCACTGACCTTGCCCTGTAGGTTGTCCTTCTGCTGAACAGTCTCAGCTGCTCTGGTGTAGTCCACCTTCAGCACATCATCCCAGTTCTTAAACTTGGACTTAAACACCTGAGGAAGAAGAGAAATTAATAAAAAGAGGGTGTGAGACAAAGGTGCTGAACACACAGCTGAACAAAGTGCGGAAGTGTGTACAATACAGGATAAAATTTTTATTTAACCAATATGTTTATCTTTGCGCTTGATTTGGTATTCATAATAAAAAAGAAAGAGTTTTAATTACTAGTACTACTGATTTTGTGTGTACATTTATTTGTGAGTGTGCAAGTGGCCAGTCAGTTGTATTTATATAATCAAAATAAGAAACATTGTCAGAGAAGAAAGACTGCATGGATTTTTCAGTCCCACAATCTTTAGTAGTTGAAGCTACGGGTTAGGTGTAGGTCAAGTGTTACCTGACACTCTGTGCCCTCCAGGTTGCGTGTGACACTGGCGTGTTTGGGCCGGTGCAGCATGGAGCAGATCTCCTGACCCAGTTTTAAGGCAGCAGCACGGACGAGACGTGGAGACTTCCGCCCGATCCAGATGAACACATCAGACCAGCAGTCCAAGATGTATACGCACTTTGTGTCCAGCAGGGACTGCACCTGAGGAGAGGAAATAAGGAGGAGAGCAGGATGTAAAAAAAATAAAAATAACAAAAGTGAAGTAGAAAATGAGTTAGTGAGACAAGATAGGAGGAAGGTTCTTGGGATTATGCAGCAGATAAAACATACCAGTCTCATCTCTGGCAGGGTGTCCAGTTTGATCTTGCGGTCTTTGTGCTCGACCGACAGCCTGTAGTTAATCTGTGGCAGCTCCAGGTAACCGAGACCCAAGCCCACCTACACACAAAACATCAGTGAATTAGCAACGCTATTTGTTATCATAACATTTAAGAGTGCTCCCCTCATTTCACCTTGTTAATTACCACTTGCACAGAAACTCACAGTGGAAATAGCTGGACCAGTTTTATGGCTGACACTTGCTGTTAACTCATATTTAACCAGTTTGACTTGGTAACTTTAAAGTCACTTTTCAGGATGTGTTGTTGGTATTAGGCCTATCCCACATAGTACATCATCACTGACCATTAACAAAAACAGTTACACGGGATGTCAAGCATGTGATAAAACAGAATAAATCCGACACCGTATCAAATCCAAATCCGTATAAAGGCTATTAAAAAAACATACCTTGTATAGTTTAGGTTTGACAGGAGAAAAGTCATCTGGTACGTGTTTCTTGATCTCTTCTGGTTGTCCTCCCAACGCCTCCCAGAACTCCGGAGGCTCCTGGTTCTGTGCGAGGGTCGTGATCTCTGCCTTCCCCTTACGCTCGTTCTTATTTATCTTTTCTGAAAATAACCTGATGGGAGAAAAAAAATCCACATCAAACAAAGCTTTGCATCGCTACATTTATGGACTCGCTTTTCATTTTTTTTTTTTTTTAATGTTTAATTGTGTCCCTACCAAGTGGCAGAAAAAGTAGCACTTGATTTGTGTCTTACCTGGCCTTTGTGGTGCTGCTAAGGGTAGCGTTGGCTCCTCTCCAGATAAAGATTTCCAGCCCTGTGTCCAACAGGAAGACATAGCTACCAAAGAGAGAATGGTACGGACACGTCACTATAAGAGACTCTGTGTACAGTACGTATATAAAATAGCAGTAGGATCAAGTAAGGAACAAATCAACTGCAGGTCTACAGCAAATTCAGTGATTATGTCAAACAGAGAGTTGAGGTATGAAAGCAGGAGACCTGAATCTTTAAGGGAAGTGCTGGAGGGTGTGGCAAAATATGCAAGTGTGCGTCATGTAGTATTTAAAGCAGTCAGGGTGTGTGAGTGTTACCGAGGGTCGAGGGAGGAGGCCTTCACAGGCACAGACTCCAGTCTGATGTTTTTCTTGCCGTAAACTCTGTACAACCTGATGGACACACATTGATTAAAACCTTCACTTCACTGACTGATCATTTAAGTATAGCTGTAAGTGCAAGAAGCTGAAAAAATTAATTCAGGCAGAAAATAAACTACATTTATGTGCAGCTTTTCAAAGCGAAGCTGCAAACATGGCTCTGAAGAAATAACAATAACAAAAGCCAAATATAAATAATATAAGACAAAGAATTCCTTCTGGCCTACCTGACAGTATAGTGCGTGTCCTCCACAGTGTAGAATCCACTGGCTGTTCCACCCTCAATGTAGGAGATCTCATTATTAAACACCTGCACACAAGATAAAATTCACAACAGCACAGAGCGGTTAATCATTCATACAGGTACAGAGGTTAGTTTCATGTTCTGCATCCAAGAAAAGAATATGCACTTTAAAGAAAGATGAATGAGTGAATCTAACTTATGCTAAGCTTAAATTGATAAAAGTATCAGAAGTTTCTTTAATGTTAGTTTTTTGTGTGTTAATCTCTGTGTGCACCATAACACACAGTATTTGCTTGTATGGACAGTGTGTTTCTACTTACGGCACTGAACTCCTCGCTCTCGTCTCCCATCTCTTCCCGTATCGTCCTGCACTCCGCTCCAAGGTAATTTCTGAGGTTGACGGCGTGGATGGCAGAGCCAGCCTTCTTGTCCAGAGTGGCCTCCTGGCCGATCCAGTAGAAGATGTGCCAGTTCAACGAGCCGTTGTCATCCAGGAATGTCTGCAATCGCAAAAAGAAGAATGCAAGAAAGATCAGAGGAATTACGGGGAGGAGGGGATCGGTCCAAGCACATGTACATGTAAACCTACAAATGTTCAAGCTGTAGCCAAAAATAATTTTGTTTGATTAATCCAATTTGTTTCATGATAACATAAGTAATGTTTCTCCTGTACGTGATGGCAGATTAGATGCGCTACCTTGAGGATGATGTAGCAATCAGCCTCATAGAACTTGCCGTGGAAAGCTTCTTCCACTTGCATGGGAACAAAGTTCTCTATCTGCCACACTGTAAGACCTGGAACCTGTAGGAGGGAGAAACAGAATAGACTGTATACTGATATCTGTACAATGCAAAGCAGAAAAATGTAATCTGATGCAACTGATCCTCAATACACATTGAAATAAAGAAGTGCCTGGGATATATAGACTAATGCCACAGCTCTACTCACTCTCACACACACACACACACACACACACACACACACACACACTACCTGGCCCACGTCCTCCATAAAGAACTCAGAGTAGTCCAGATGAGGTTTCTCTAGACTCTTGTCCCAGCGCCGGATCTTTAGGTCACCATATTTCAAATCCCCGTTTTCCTGCGAAAGAAGATTTCTTGGTATATAAAATGCAGAGCAACCCTTTTGTGTTTATCCTTCTTTCTGTGGCCCGTTTAGCACGTCCTTCTCCCTTATCTTTCTCCTTACCTCCAAGTTCTTCTTCTCCTGTGCAACGTCACTCATGCCCTTGAGCACCTGCTTCGCCTGATCGTCCTGAGAAGAGTCCTTCCTCCTCCTTAGCCTCATCTTCCTCGCCAGGGGATCTCGGGGGCTGGCTCCTGGATACACATACACAGATACAGATTAAAGTCTCTGGGAAAAGTTGTATTGAAAACAGCACAAAAAGGCACTTACGCAGCATATTACAATACACTCATGTACAAGCTGTACACATAGCTCCACACACCTCCTCCAGCAGCAGCTACACTAGCAGGCGAGGCCCCGGCCAGACGGAGCTGGTTCTGAAGGGAGAAGTCAATGTTGTACCACTCTGCTCCTCTGTCGACTGGTTTGGGAGGCATCACCAGGTTGGGGTTCTCACGCACATCCAGAATCTATAGAAAAGATACATTAACGGGGAAAGGGTTTGTGTGCGTTTCTGTAACAATTTGTAGAGATAAAATGAATATTTAATGAAAGATACGTATTAAAAGCAAACAATTTGATGTTACAGAGCACTAGCTTTTAATTAATTGCTTGTATATCTTTCTTATTATCTTCTTTTTATTATCTTATTATTCCTATAATATTCCTACAGAAATTTGAAATGTACTGCATTTTCATTTTACTGTGTTAACATATTTTAAATTATCTGATCTAATTTGCAACATCACTATATAGTAACAATCTTAAAAATCTCATGATGTTTAATGTCACATAATATTACATTTACCTTATTAAAGATAATGCCATTTCTTTTATTTTATTTACTGTAATGTTTTCTCTCCAGTAATGAGGGAGAGTACAGTCGGGTTATTTTAATCCTCTTTTTTGATACTTTTACATAGGTGATCAAACCCACATTAATCCACCATACACCCATTATAAATGCTGTTTGAGTCCAGTATTATCTGACTTTACTAGTACTTTACTTTACAAGTGTCGTTAGTATTGTACCTCTAAATCAGTCAAGAAGTGGATGGCCTCAGGTAGCGTTACCAGGCGGTTTTTATTCAGCACCAGCTTCTTCAGCTTGCCACACCTAGACAACACAAAACCACATATTGACATAACCTGACTCTTTTGTCATGTATAAATTATCTGCTATTACCCATACATTTCGTTATCTGTTAAATTTAGCTGCGTACAATACACGTTAACTGATGACAGAATCAACAACGATCGAGAGGTAAAAAAACAAAAATGTAATTCAACGTGTCAGTGTCGTATCAGCAAAATATCCGTCAAGCAGTGGTGGCTCATCAATCACAGCACCCTCAATCTGTGCATTTGTTTGTGTGCTACGTTCACCTGCAGAGGCCCTCAGGGATAAGTTCCAGGTTGTTGTTAGCGGCCATGAACTCAGTGAGGTTGGACAGTTTGCCAACGCCTGGTGGAACCCCGTCAAAGTCCAGTTTGTTAGAGTTTACATACAGCTTTTTCAGTTTGGACAGCTTACAGATTGCAGACTGGTAGGAGGAGACACACAAGCAAATTGTTAGACATCTTATTTTACTGGTAGTAAAAACAAAAAGTGGCTTCTAGGGACAACTGTGTAATTATTAGTGTAGTCCTTACAGGCAGTGAGGTGAGCTGGTTGCGGCTCAGGTTAAGTGTCTCTAGCTGAGTCCACTGGTCGATGCAGAGGGACAGTTCTGAGATCTGATTACTACTCAGGTTGAGTCTCTTCAAGCTGCCCATTGAATAGAGGCACTCTGGCACCCGAGTTAGGTCATTACAGGACAGGTCAACGTCTGGGAGAGACAGGAGGGACAGAGGGGACATGCGTTTGTAAGAAGCAGTGTTTGTTTCCCCAGACGGACAGTATATGAGCATACACATAAAGTGACACATTTGTGAAAAGGACCATATTTTCTTCTGTTGTCTTTTTTTAATTAAAAAAATAAAAGTACCACATGTTCAAGTGCCAAGGTGTAAAAGTAAGAAGGAAAAGGTGTCAGGTCCCTAAATAAATGGTCTGTGTGTGTGTGTGTGTGTGTGTGTTACCTGCTAAATGTGTCAGTCCCTCCAGGCTGGTGGGCATGTTGCTCTGGGTCCTCTGGGTGTTCCTCAGGTGGAGAGTCTGTAAAGCCACCATTGCTGGCAACTGGCTGCTCAGACACACATACATAGAGACAGTCAGAGTTAAATTTGGACTAATATGAGACCTGGGAATGTCTGTTTGGGTAAAGGTGTGACGAAACATTAAAGAAACAAAGTCATGTCTTTTTACCGTAATTGGGCATGCATCAACGGGTTGTTGTTCAGGATGAGTGTCTGCAGGTGAACAAGGCGTCTCATCTGGGGCGGCAGGCTGTCCAGCTTATTGTCACTCAGGTCCAGATACAGCAAGTCTGTCAGGTTGATGAACAGCTGGTTGGGGATGGAGTCGATGCTGTTGTGGCTCAAATTCAGCACCAGCATGTTTCTGCTGTTTTCAAGGTCTCTGGGGATCTCGGTTAGCTGATTGTAGCTCAGGTCCTGAAGGAGGAGAAGGAAAGCCACCAGAGTTATTTTTGGGACGGTAAAGTTAGATAACCAGCTGAAAAAGATGGTAAGGTGATGTGCAGTGGACCAGAAAAAAAAAAAGGAAAGGAAGCATGTTGGAATAAGTGTGGGTAGGTAGTCTCAATATGTGTGATAAGAAGAGAAGGAGGGATTGTGTGAGATTTTTACGTACCAGCACAGAGAGGTCATCTAGCTGAAAAATGTCATCTGGGACTCCAGAGTTTTTCAAGTTGTTGGCCCTGGCCACCACCGCCTGCACACATAATGAAACACATTTTGGACACCCTTATAACTATACACTGGTACAAGACGAAACAGGCCGTACTTGTTAGACCAGAAAACCATGTGAACTTGTCAAAGCATCAGATTGAAATTAAAAATACTAACATGTACGTGGGAATAATGTGCATTTTCTTATGCATGTGTGGGCGTTAGTTACCCGTAGGTTTGGTAAGCTGGACAGTTCTCCGTGTAAGGTGGTCAGGCTGTTGTGACTCACTGACAGATGCTCCTAAAGAAGGGAAAATAAGGACGTTTTTTGTACACATACAATACACTGGCCAAACAAAACATATATAAACACATCTAAAACCCCATCAACATGCCCTACAAGGTCACTGCTGTACAATGTACCACTTGCACAGATGTCCATTTGTCTCTATATAAAATGATTTAACTGAAATCAGAATAAAAATCAAAGCAGAATCCAGGTAAACACAGCCCAGACACTGTGACTCCTAGCTATGATAACAGACTAATCTTATGTACCTACATCTGGTAATGTCATGCATGTTAGCACAGATCATCTTTTTACCATGGATTTGCAGCTTTGGAGGTTTAGATAAGATAATCCTATAAGTGATAGAGGACTAAAGTAGGACTGTGTGTGTGTCCTTAATCAGGTGAGGGTTCACTGATGAAACGCACCAGTCTGCTGATGTGATTATCCTCAGTTACCCACACATCATGTAAAAAAAAAAAAAAAGGTATGCTATGACTCAGAGATTAACAACACTGCCATCAACAATGCAGTAACATATGGAACACCAAACTAGATAATCTAGGTTCATATCAGCACTACCATTGCGGTAGTGGTAAAACTACCACTGATATAAGTGGTAAAAACATAATAACAACATAAAATAAGAAGAGTCTCAGTCTGAAGACCGATTAGATAACACAACAGCATTACTAATGTTATGAATTATAAATTGCTAATATCCCTCGATGTCTCACCAGCTTCTGCAGAGAGGCCAGCTCCTCTGGGAGGTAACACAGTCCCGTCCTGTTCAGTTTCAGCCATCGCAGACTGCTCATACACTTCACATGCTCTGGGAAGTACCCACCCTGTAAATACAGACAGGGGCGAGAGGTGGGAGACGAAGAAGAAGAGGAGAAAGAGAATTACCACTGACATCAGTAATATTGTGATGGAGTTGGTGGAAGGTACAAAGAAAACTCAGCTGACATTGCATGTAAAACATGTTACTGTCATGTATTTACCATCATTTGAATCTGAAATATTCACATAAGATCCTTTGTGAAGTGATACCATAACATGAGGAGATCTGTTTAAATGCAAATTAACAAAATTAAATACAACAGTATGAGAACAATAACGTTGAAGTATGTGTCTACATACAAAATTAGATTGACATAACCTTTGTTGTCATTATGGGTGGATGCCAATTGTGAAAGCACAAATGGGACAACTTCAGTTATTTACAATTCAGCTGCATGATTAAATGCATCAAACATCTGGCCAGCTGTGATTTTCAGTCTATGTGATCTTTTACAGTCGCACAAGAAACCGGAATAGTGTAAATTACAGGAATTCTAGGACACAATTTGGGAGAGGAAATGATACACTACACACCTGAAATCAGATTTGAATCATCAGCCATTCACTAACTAACAGATAAACAATATATTTCGTCATTTTATTTGAAGTTCTGTATTGTCATACTGACTGGGCAGCTAGAGTTAAGTAACGTTACAGAAATAGTTCCGTTATTTTGCCAGATGATCCCAGCTGTCACTGCTGCCAGCCCCCAGTCTTACAAACGAAGCTCGCAAAGTGTGTCAAAACATACAAGTATGACGACATTAACAAACTCTACAAACTTAGCTTAAGTTATTATTTTGGGCCGTAGCATTACCTAACTTAAACGCTGACATATTCTGACACGGAGCTAGTGCTTCTGACAGTTAGCCAACAGTGAAGCTAAGTTAAATTAGCTAGCTTAATTAAGTGACGTTGGATATAATAGCTCCCGTATCATAAAACTACCCAGAATTATCCAACAGCTAACAGAGTACAGAAGTACCCTTCACAAACCCATAACGTTAACCCTAATCAGAAATCTGTTCACGCAGGACGCTTGTGGCCGAGACCACACTGCTAACTACTTTGTCCATGTCAAACATCTGACAACTGGCTAACGCCCAATGCTAGTAATGTTAAGCTAAGCTAGTGTTGTAACCAGTTCAGCCTTTGGCCGTTTGTTGCTCTGAGTCTCTAACTTGCATTAGCTTTAGCTAGCAAGCTAAACGTGTTACTTGATCAGCGAATATAACAGCAACGTAACCGCCTAAAATACTTACTTTGAAGTCGTTTCCACTGAGGTCTACCCCCCTTATGAAGGGAAGAACTCCGGTGGCAGCCATTTCTGGTTGATGTCAGCTGCTCAGCCCCTTCGACTGTCTATTTTTGTTCAGAAGCGCAGACTGTTGTTCTTCTTTTGATTTTTAATGGCAGTTAACAACCCAGTGTTTTATGCGCATTACCGCCACCCTCTGTTTCGGAATGTGGACCACAGACTTTAATAACATGTCAGCACCCTCCAGTGGTCACCAGCGACTACGACACACCCACGGTTGGGTGTCCCACTTTTAAACAAGGACTTGCTAGTTAATCTGCTACAATATTTAATATGTGTGACGGTTAGTCTCAGTTTAAAAGTAATATGCTTATATAATATGGCCTTTATTCAACAAAATATTTCCATTTTCTTAATGTGGGCACTAGATTGATAAGATTAAAGTCTCGGGGCTTTGATTGTGCTAGTAGGATATCGAGTTGCTCATTTCTTCGTGACAAGCTCTTTGATCGTGGCACATATGCAACAAAACCGCAGTCAGCGGTTACAATTAAATTGTCAAGTCATTTAGAGATAGCGAGGGCGATACCGGATAATGGACCGGTTTCTTTCAAAATAAAGCTATTGCTAACGAAAGCTAACAGTGCACTGTATGTGCGTTTCTCAAGAAAGTGTATATTTTGAAAGCAGAGTAATCGGAAGTGTTGTACGTATTTTAATACGCAATGACGTCATCCAAAGAACCGCCCAGTCAGCTGTGTTGTTAAATGTCAGCGAGCCAGCCAACAGAAAATAACAAGCTATTTTGGCGTTGACATTATGGATAAAAATGCTACGCGATTCAATGTACAACTGTATATTTATGATCTGTCGAAAGGAATGGCTCGCAACCTCAGTCCTATCATGTTAGGTAAGTAGCCTACTGATCAAAAAAAGACAGAAAACCCGATGCAGCCTGGCCTTTGGGACAAATAAGTGACATATACCGGGTAGAGATGCCTTCTCGACCGTGCCTTGAAATTTAAACTGATTTATGTTCCTACATCCTAATGAAGGTACAAAGGTCGTTATAGCGGGTTGACAAACTGCTCCACTTGTAAGGTACAGCTCCACGGAGCTAATTAAGATCATCTCCTTCCACCTTCTTCTCATTACTTTCCCCATTTTTTTGTTACAGGAAAGCAATTGGATGGCATCTGGTATGAATCTCCTTTCTGTTAATTTGACAGCTGGCTTGCCTGGGACCTAAAAGTCAGACCTCCTGAGTCATGAAAACACTGCTTCTCATATAATGTGTGGGTCCAGCAGGTGTTGGCCTGTGACTCACTTCTGGTCCCACAGCAAATAGCATAGGAAATAAATCCATTCTAAGAAACAGAATACTAAAAACAGCCAGTGTCAGTGTGTTTAATTATGTCCATGTTCATTTGTTTTATTCTGAATTTTGCCTAAAGTAATTTGGGACCAATTTAGGAAATCATAAACTGAAGCATAATTAGACAAGGGCAGTTGTAGGATAGTGGACACACCAAGGAAGTAGCTTGCAACACTTTGTCACAAAATAACACATCACACATTAATCAAGAGGGGATCTATAGGCTACAAGGCTTGATTTGTCCATTTAAGTTATTCAGCAGTTGCCCCAATCTGCAATTACTGTAATGATTAATTGCTTACTAACTTTGCTTTGTGGCTTGTTATTTGTTAAAGAGGCATTGGCACTGGCACTAACATAGGGTTATTCAGACTTGAATTTACCCCTGTGATAACTTTGTGCTTTTCTTCCAGGCACACAGCTATAGTGGCATACGGTGATGAGTTCTTCTTTGGAGGGGAGGGGATCTCCAGCTGTTCACCGGTAAGTCTGTAACAAGGGGACTGACCCCCAGCTGTTTCACACATGCTCATGAAGGAACTGTAGACTATCTACCTTAGACTGCTGGACACATGCAGAGGACATGAGATGTAAAAACCCAAGAGGGTGAAACAGCCACATTGACCTATTAACACCTGAACAGTTCTTGGTTTGATTCCTACAGTATCACTCAGCTGTCATTGTGCATTACTGCTAAAACGAAATCTCTCAAAATTCATATGGGCTGTTTGTTGTTTGTACTAAAAGTTTGGCACAAGCAAGACATTATCAGGTTTCTAGTTCATTGCTTTGAGATGCTGCCAATTACTAGAAGGCCTGTAGGCATATCACCAACTTAGTATTTCACATGCTCCCGCTCTCAAGTGTTCTTTTGTGATGACATTTTAAATCTACCTGAATTACCTCTACTTCAGTTTGTGATTTCCTACATTTCCAGAATATTTTTTAAAAGATTAAGGCTGCCTTTATTTAATTTGTCCACAAACTGCACCAAAAGACAGAAAAACCTACAACATGTTAGTTTGTCTCTCTCTTTTTTTCTGCTGTCTGCTTGTCAGGGTGGGACCATGCTGGGTCCTCCAGACACAGTGGTAGAGCTGGGCGAGACTGAAGTGTCTGAGGAGATTTTCATGGATTACCTCTCCTCCCTGGGAGAAAGCTCATACAGGTCTAGTGTCTTCTTCACAACATTTTTCTTCCTTCCCTCATACAGGAAAGGTAGCAGTTGATTATATATTAAATATAACGTCCTAAGGCAGACACACACGCATGTGAAAATAACACATTTTTACTCAACGGTCACAATGCATGAAAGCGGTTATCTGATGCATTAACTTCCATTCTTTCTCGGTTAAGAGGTGACAGGTATCGTCTATTCGAGCACAACTGCAACACCTTCACCAACGAGGTGGCTCAGTTCCTGACAGGACGGTCCATCCCCTCCTACATCACCGACCTTCCATCTGAAGTCCTCTCCACGTGAGTGTAAAACTCAGTCTTTCAGCTGCCCATACCTTCCATCAGGTCGAGGTCAGGTCTCTGCTTGTTTTAAAAAATATGTCCCCGCTGACAACCAAACACCATGTGACCACGCCTGTGTCCTGATAAAATCTAAACAAATCTGGCTTTACACTTAAAATGGTCATTCATTCCCTATTCTCAGGTGCACTGTGATGTATTGTTAGTAGAGCTAAATTATGTAACATATGGACTATTATAACTATGTGTTCTGTGTCTGTTTCAGTATGCTTTCTTGCGATCTTGAATGAAGTTGCACAATTTAAAAGTTAATGTGATGTAGCCCTCGGAGGAGTTTTTACCGTGCACTAGCTGGACTTGTTCCACAGTGCTGAACTGTTGTGAAAACTCACATAGAGCTCTTTTTTTATCATCACATGGCAAGTCAGAGGGGCAGACACGAGTTCTACCACAAACCCAGTGTGACTTATCTGCCTTTAAGAGAAAACAGGCAGCACTAGTTGCTGCTGTAACAATGACGAGGCCCACAGCTTATGTGGTAGCTGCCTGGATGGATTCCAAATTCCAAACCTGCCTTCAAAAGTTTGCTTCACAATCGATAATTATCTGTAAAGGAGCTCCAATACATGGTAGCAGACTTAGAGTGTACAGAGTGGATCATAGTGTCTAAATGTCACATTAAATGTGGGGGTTTTCTCAGATATTTCCTCGGACAAGGCCTTCAATGAACAGTTATACAATTGTGACTCTAAAATTCACTGTAGGAGCCAAAACAAATTAGGTGTTTTAAAGTGTAAAATCACTGGTTAACCCCCCATAAAACAGAAAACCATCTGTTCATACCAGTGACATGGGAAAAAATAGTGCAATGATGGTGTTATGATTCAGTTTAGGATATCAAATCAAATCTCCTCCTTCCATCTCTAGGCCGTTCGGCCAGATACTGCGGCCCATTCTAGACTCCATCCACATCGCCCCTCCAGGAGGCAACGTCATCAACGGGGGAAGAAACATGTAACCCGAGAGAGCAGCAGAGTCCCAGAGTGTTCCCGAGGTCACTTCCATTGTAGTCAGTCAGTGAGGAGTCTCAAACTTATTGTCTTTCTTTCTGTAAATAAATGACACACTAGCACCGGAGCTGACCGCATTTTTGGAAGCTATAACTGATTACTGACCAGTTAATTTTTAAAATACATAATTTAACATAATTTCCTCCCTAAAATGTAGTTTTATAGATTTACGTATAGGTTTATCGATACTACTTAGGGAGATCTCACAGATCTTGAAGTTTGAGGATGCATCTAGCATCAAATCACATGAGGATGCACTGATCAGCCCTTCAAAAACAGATGGGATTTTGGGTTTAGCAGCATAGCCAGATAAAAACAGTTACTTTCCTACACAAAAAAATTACTTTGATGAATGTTGCCTTCTTATAAACAAGTCTTTGGAAAGTCAGAAATCCAGTTAAACTGTTTCAGAAGTGAAATGGTACTTATTATATATATATATTGTAATTATATTTAGATGCAACTTAATTTAGCTCAGCTTAATTTCTACTTTTACTCCACAACATAGAAATATTGCACTTTTTACTCCACTGCATTTATCCGATAGCTGTAAACCACATACAACATTAAAATACCTCTTGCACATAGTGCAGCCAGCTTATTTAGTACCTTAACTTTTGTACTGAGGTACAAAATGCTCCTTTACTTTTTATTTTCACCAGTTTTAGGTATTGCAATGTTTATTTAACCACTTTTATTTTTCATTTTCCACCACTGACATTATTACCAACATCAGGTGTCTGCAGTGAGAATCATCTGCTGCTGACTACAATGGAATTAATCTTAGTGTTAAACAAAGTGTACACTTTGCATAGATATGTTTAATATATTCAATTCAATGGATTCAGGTTGATGGAAAATAAGATGGTTGCATCTTAGAGAGTTTTTTAATGTCAATCATGTTTTAATTTTGCACTTTTCTGACTTTTGGTAGCCTGTAGTTAAGTTCCCATCAGTAATCCTTTTCTTCCTGTAATATGTGTCTTTACTGTTTCTGGTCAATTCAGCATTTCTGTGTTCGCCTGCCTGCTGTACCTCACATTATCATTCCATTTATCACATCTTTTGTAACATAACATACAAAAACATGTTGAGTGTATATCTTTATAGCAGTACTGGGGGACAGTTCATTGTAAATGCAGTTATTCCTGCGTGTATGAAAGTAAACCCTTGTTGACATTTGTTGATGGCAGACAAAAGTGTATGTCATGCAAGGCAACAAGAACGCACAAAA